CACTTTCGACCACAGTCGAAAATCGAATGCAACTCATAATAGGGGCCTTTGTATGGAGAAAATGAGCCACACCTTCCACTAAAAAAATTGCCAAAAATCAACGCAATTCTCAAAAATTGAATGTGCTATATACCTGCATACTTGGAATTTTTCTTAAAAGTCTGATTAGAAGTGTCAATACGAGCGTATACGCAAGAAGCAATTCGGCCGATGGGGATAACTTAATCAGCTGACCACAAGGGTATATAGGTAATCGGCAAGTCAACACGTTCCCCCTCCCCTTCATCCACCTCAACAAACTTATTAAGCTTATCAGCCCTGTAAACCAACCTCTGACAACTGTCCCACCCGTAGCTGTCACGGAGTATTACATATATGATAAAAACGCATTTAAGGCTTTAATTTGTTTTTTTTTTTTTCGTTGATTCAAGATGTTTGCAAATGTCTTATTCACACGTTTGTTAGTTTTATAAAATAAATTAATAATTTTTGCACTAAGGTTCACTTCCTAATGGAACCTCCCATATATATATATATGTAAGTAGGTACTTAAGTAATAGCTCAAAAGAAAGGGCAAATATTCCTTTATATATACACATCAGCGAACAGTTTCGTAAATTGATTAAATTTAATATTTTTTAAAGCTTAGTAGACCTTTTTTTTTCAATTTTAAGACTCGATGAAGTTTCAGTTTTGTCATAACTAAATAAGTAAAAACTAAAGTATGTTTAATTTTTTAATTAGTTTTTGATCCCGAAAACAACCAATTTTCTACGAATTCCTTCAATCAAACATCATAAGGTAACTAACTGCAAAGAGATTGTTGAAATGCCTACCAATTTTGAGTAAAACTTTATGCAAAAACTAAAGCCTTCTTTGAATTAAACAGTTATGCTATATATGTATGTACATTAGACTGTCCAAAAAAACCAAAGTTATTTTTTTTAAAGCATACCCTCTCATTTTATTGATTTTGTCTTATAAACTATCCAAATAAAATTTTATGCAATTCGGCAACCCGTGCCGACTCGCAGTCAAAATTATCAGAATAATCTTTGTGCAGTTCGCGTGCTTTGTTAACTTCCTCATTTTACTTCTATATAAGGTGGTATTACTGTATTCGATACAGTTTTAGGGCACACTATTTAGTAAAACTGCGTTTTTAGTTTTTTACCAGTTAGTCAGGATTTTTCCCAAAGGACCATTAATTATAATATATTTCCAAAAGTTTAGACAAAATATGTAAATATGGGTATCAAAAAAAAAAAAAAATCGAACCAAGATTAATTATAACTTTTGTTTTCAATTATTCTTTTGGAACATGTCAAAAATGTCCGTTGAAAATATTATCCTTTAAGATTTTTAATTTTGAATGCATTTTGAAGAATCTTAGTTTAATTTAATTGCTATTAATAAATGTAATGTAATGAACTAATTCAAAATATTGACTAAAACTTTAACTAAAAGTCGGCACGGGTTCTTGTTATCCTACGGCCATAAAGCTGCATATATGTGCTATTTAGGCTATTAAGCACAAATATAGATCAAAATTTGCAAACAAATTTTTTTCCATATATTCTTGGGACAGTCTAATATACATATATATACTATGTGCCGCATATTGAGCGCAAAAGCTCCAAACTCTGCAGGGCTAAATTTAAAAAAAAAATACCTACACTAATTTAAACTGACTAGACTAGAGTTCTTAGTATCATTTTCTATCTTCTTACCGTTCGCAAATGCTATGAAGTAAAAAAGTAATTAAGTTCAATTTAAATTTAATTAATTTTGTTTGAGACGTATGAATACGATAAAAGTTTCAATTTTTCTCCCACAGCTTTGATTTTTCCCACAGGGATGTGAAACAAGAAAAATCCTAAAGTATATAAATAATTAATGCTTATATTTTCACACATGTATGTATGTACATATATGTATATTTATACAAATGTATGTATGCTTATTCGTGTGCACATATGTTTGTAAGTATGTATGTGTGTAGTACAAAATATACTTGTGGATATTTATGTACGCATGCATTTATGAGGCACGTGTTAAATTTATTTTAGACTAACTCACCTTATGATAGATGAAAGGCCGCGCCAAAGCCATCCAACGTTCAATGGCCATGACCGCCGCAATACAGCCGGAACTAAGTCCGAAAAAACGACACAACACCTTTAGGGTGCAATCCCAACGCACATAAGCCTTAAACTTATCATCAGGCACGTAAACTTTGAGCAACAGCGTTAACAGCATGCCAAGTAGGCCGATAAGATTATTTGAAGCTAAGCAACTAAAAGAAAATAGAACATAGCCATTATCCTTATAAGTATTTGTTGTCAGAAAATAAATTTATGCTATACAAATACAAACATATGTGTGTGCATACATACATACATACCAACCCATTAACCCAATTTGTCACAAAAACGAGAACGAGTTCAATTCGACGTGGGTTTGGTGAACTCGTCTGGGCGAATTCGAAAAAATATCAAAAATCAATGATGCGCGTTTTGAGCCACACGTCAAACTTGTACCCTATTATACAAAAATTTAATGGGCATTAAAACCGCTTCGAATTTTTCTTTAACCCCTTGAAGACCCCTGTTGCTAATAGGCAACATTAACATTTTGGAAGATTGCTTATTTCGGTAGAAACGAATTCGGCATAAATCTTGTAAATAGCATGAGTTCTTAATTTTATGGGTTTGGTTAAATCGCAAACAATATTCGTATGCAAACAAAAATAAAAAAAAAATACAAATTTTACTTTGAAAACATTGTGACTATAAAGAAAATCACCAAGTGGCTTTTTGAGTCACAATATTTGTCTATAATAACTCCATTTGAAGTTCCGTTGTTGCTTTTAGTTTCATTATTTTCACTTTTGGTTGAAGGAAACCGAGAAGATGCTATTACTGGATCTGAAATATCATGTAATAATATTATATATAAATTTTTATAGAAATAACTACAAAATAAAACAAAACTATGCTTCTGATTCAGATTTTTTTGAGTATTAAATTTCAGTATAACAAAATGCAAGTTTGGAGTTGCTAATAAAAATCGTGTTGGTTTTAGGAATTTTTTTCATGCATATTCTTCCACGCAAAAAAAAATAAAATAAAAACTCGAAAATACTTTGTATGTAAAAAATGCGAAACGCCGACAACAACAAAAAAAATCTTAAGAAATCAATGCAGTTTTCTAGAGACTTCAAACTTGAATTTTTTTAACTAAAATTTTATGGACTACAAAATTGCATACCAAAATGGTTGAAAACCCGCACGAAAATCGATTGAATTTTGCCGAGTTTAAAAATTATATATTTAATTTTTTGTTGTAGTATGAACCATGATAAAATGTGGTATGTAGCAAGAGCTGTCAAAAGATAAAATATTCTAAATGCTCTAAACTGCCCACAATATGTAGCTGTGGTTATAGTGTATTATATCTGATGTAGCTAGCGAAATAGCTTGTGGCTGCGGTACTACATTCTGTTTAAGAGAGAAAAATATAGGAAGGTAGATCCGCTGAGAGACACTTTTAGCATTTTCGACGTTTGCAAGCAATTTAATTTTAAAATTTTACACACAAACTCACACACATACATTGTCATTTTCAATCTCAAACAACAAAAACTTTGAACAATTAAGAAATTTCTTTTCCTTACTCTCAATTTTATATGATTTTAAAATGCTGGCAAACTTCGAAAAATATCATGGCCGACCAATTGAGAGAACGGTTCTACCTTACTATGTTTTTAATTAATCGCTGGTCATTGACCAAGATTATACCATAAAATGCCTCTGAGCTGTATGTAGAGTTGAAGAAAAAAATCAAATTTTACGTGTATTTTATATGGGAAATCTTTGCATGCCTTGGGCGAGTACTTAATGTTAATATTAAGGGTTCAAATTTTCAGCGAGTTTTTTAGGTGCTTTCCACAAAATTTCAAGGTAGGAATGAAAAATAACAATACTCGCAAAAAGCACCCTAATGTATATTTTTTAATTTAATTTGTGGAAACATATTTTATTTTCGTATTTTGATTATCATTTTCTTTTTTAGCTTAATCTGCAGATTTTATTGTTTAAAAGAATACATTTTTTTAATTCTTTTTAATTTTTAAAAACACTTTTTTTAATAATTACTTATTTAATCTTTTTCTTTTTTATTTAAATTTTGTTCATGTTATTATTTTTAAGAGAGTTTTTTTCGTTTTAATTTACATACATTTTTATAAACTTTTTCTATAAATTTTTTCTCTTATATTAAATTCTTTTCTTTTAGCTTTTAGTTTTTATTGTTTTAAAAAGAAAAATGTGTATATTTTTTAATTTCATTTAATTTTTAGTAAATTTTCTGTTAAAAGACAAAAAAATCATAAAAGACAGCCTGAAGCTCACTAAAAATTGTTTTATATAAAATACAGACACAAACGCCAATGGCCTCCTTTTTAGCAGATCTTTGAATTATGCTTTCGAAAGATAGAAAAGAGCTCTCAAGATTGTTGCCAGAATGAGCAATTGTCTGACGAAAGTGAGTTGAAAGACAGTTGCCAGAATTGCTCTGTTAGTTTGCCGACAAAAAAGTGTAGGTAATTTCGTTCGGAAATACATTCCATGCATTTAATTTCTTATAGCATTAATCAAAAACCGCAAAATATTACCACAAATTCGTACGTTATAGAACAAAATAAAACCGTTCTTATGTAATACTTATAATTGCTGTTTTGTACATCATCATTGATACTGGTATGTGAGCGCGTGTTGGTAATGTATGAAATGTTATTGAATTAACGCAAATTTATATTCAAATGAGTCGCGTAATTGAATGCTGCTTATTGCGATAGTTTGAATTTGTGTATAATGCTGGTCAGATAATGAATTTTTGATTTCTAGAGAAGAGTTATAAAATTCCAAATACAGAATTCAGCGTACTCTACTCTAGCAAATATGTACATTTACATATATATATGCCATATTTTCATAGTTTTTTGTTTTTGGCCAACATACAAAAATTGTTGCATGAAATTGAGTGCACACGAAAATACAACAAAAAATGGAAAGAAAAAGAAAAGGAGATCATCAATATATGTCTTCTTCTTCTTCTTTATTGGCGCTGCAACCGTCTAAGCGAATTTGGATGAGTCCAAAACTGACGCCAATTGGAAATGCCAAGTGAAGCCAAGTCCTTCTCCAACTTGTCTTTCCAACGAAGAGGAGGCCTTTCTATTCCTCTGAATACTTTCATAGCTGGAGCGTTTCTGTACATTCGAACAACATAACCTATGCCTCCGCGCCATATACCAGCTCGGGCAGGATGAGTGACTTATGGAGTGCGGTTTTCGTATGCCGAGAGAGAACTTTACTCCTGAATTGCCTACTAAGTCCAAAGTAGCACTTGTTGACAAGAGTGAAGTCGACAAATAGATGGTGTGTGTCGATGCTATTTTCGCGGATCTTTTCCAAGATTTGGCGTAATGTGAATACCAGATGATGGATTTTCCAGGTCTAAAGCCACACTTATAAGGCTTAATTAGTTCGTTGACGGTGGGCTTGAGTCTTTCACACAATATGCTCGATAAGATCTCGGTAGTTGGGCTGATCCCGCAGAGCAAACTTAAATTCCAATCGTCGGGCATGTGTTCATCTGACCATACTACTCTGTACAGTGAAAACAACAATCGCCTTGTGTGAACGGCCTTTCAACTAATCGCTTCTAAAATTGCCTGTGAAATCGCCTCATGTGAACACTGTTTAAGGGTTGATGCATACACCTTAAAAGCCATTTGCCGTACTTGAATAGCGCAGCTGTCAGTTCTAGGAGCTTTGTTTTTTTTTTAACCGTAATTGCTATTCGTAGCTCATCACAGTCCGGCGGTGGAACATTGACTCCATCATCATCGACTGGGACCACGGGTTCGTCTTCTCCACTACTTTTCGTGCTGCTACCATTCGGTATAGTGGAAAAGTGATCCCTCCATAATTTACGTACGTACTTGACACCAGTCACTAGGTCGCCATTGTTGTTCTTACAAGAGTTCGCCCTGGTTTTGAAACCTTCCGTAAGCCGTCTAACCCTCTAATAAAATTTTCGGGCGTTTCTCCTCTCGGCCAGCATTTCAAGCTCTCCGCACTCCCGTATTTCGGCCTCCTACTTCTTATTGTGGAAAACACGTTTCGCTTCCTTCTTCGGTTCACTTAGAGCAGTCCCACATATGCAGGCGGCATCCTTTTTCTTTGCAGCTTCTTGACACTCCTCATCGAAGTTGTTCCTTCCGGCTCGTTGAAATCCGACTACCTCTTCGATGGCGGTGCTTAATGAGCATATGTACTTAAATATAAGTAAATACAGATTTACATGATCACTCATACGATTTGCTATCTTGTTTATATGACAAAAATTTTAGAAGGGTGGCCCTTACGTTCAGCCAAAAGAAAAATATTTTTTTTTTTGAAAATTGCCTTCCAAAAATACTGTAGATTCAGGGGTGTACAGTGAACTTTTTTTCATACATACGTTTGTTACAGTTGTAATTAATATCGATACCATCTGACTCTAACGAACCTACTATGCCGAGCCTAAGCACTTAACGCCTACGCAAATTTTCCGTTATTTTATGCATGATATAAATACGCATACATTAACGAGTACCAATTTTGTTAATTAACAGTTGCAAGTTAAGTGAGCTCCAAGCTATGTTCAGCATATATACGTATGTATGTTCCTATGTACATACGTACATATGTATTGCATAAACACCCTAAAGGTAATTCAACAGGTGTCTATTTGTACACTAAGAAAAAAGTAATATGCTTTTTCCAAACAGAGTCTTTTTTGGTTTGTCCTTGTTTGCGAGGTGAAATTTTTTAATTATTAAGTTTATATTAAATTAATTGTATATGAATAACTTTTTCTTAGACAATTTTCGTCCTATCTTTGAAAAAGATTCTAAAAAAAAGTCGACAACATACATACGCTATGGTGCTTGAAGTCGCAAATAAGGTAATACATATAAACAACTTTATTTCGAGTGTAAATGGAATTAACGCTGATTTTATAAACAAATAAATATGAAGAATTACATACATACATACATATGTATATAAGTATGTATTACTTCACTTGCATATCTGATAAAAGTGCGAATCAGTTAATTCTAAATGATTGGCCAGGCCAATGTTTGTAATGCGTTTCATTGAGTGTTTGCATGACTTAAATAAAGTATGAACACGTGTGTATGTACATACAGTGACTCAAACCAACGTTCACGTGTTGATATTGTGT